AAATTGCTTGAATTTCTTGATTTCCTTGAATTCCATGATATTTAGAATGGGTATGCCTTAAAGTAGTATATGACTCTAAATTGCTTGAATTTCCTGAATTCCTTGAATTTCCATTTGGTGGATCCTAGGTAGTGCTGATAGCGGTAGATTTTGCGAACTTTTGAAAATTCTTAAATAACACCATCAAATCATTTCGAATACGAAAACAAACGTCATCATTCGACTCAGAATGAGGAATTATTGCATCCTAGACGACTTTCCGGGTGATCCAACGTCAATTTGCTAAAATCAGTGGTCTCAGGAAACATTGAATTAGTTTAACAGCAGATGAGAATTTATCCATAACTATTTTAAATTTTATTACAAAAATGTGAAGCTTTTCGAGAGTTCAACTCTCATCATCAGACAAAAAGATAAAAATGATTAAAGTTTAAATTTAAAAGTACAAATAATAGAATTAGTCATATATAGGGTGTGGGTGGGTGTGAGTGTGGGTGTGGGTGTGGGTGTGTGGATGTGGGTGTGGGTGGGGGCGTGGGTATGTGGATGTATGTAACCAATTGATCGACACCCACATCCCACATCCACGGCCAAACACCCACAGTCACACCCACACCCACACCCACCCCACACTCACAACCACACCCCACATCCCACATCCACACCCACCCACAGTCACACCCACACCCCACACACCCACCCACACCCCACACCCCACATCCACACCCCACACCCCACATCCACACCCACCCACACCCACACCAACACCAATACCCACCCGCACCGACACCCACAACCGCATCAACACCCACCCACACCCACTCACACCCTCTTTAGTGATGATGTGTAGTAGTGTTTTGCAAATTGTTTACGTTGTGTGTTTCTCTGAATGATCAATATATCAAGTATGATGCTTTAATGTTTTTCTTTGATTTTGATTATAATTAAACAATAATTAATGAAGAAATCTACAACTATATCATTTCAATGGATGAAAGTCATGTGCTTTAGTATGAAAGGTGATCGTAGGTCAGGCATTACACGTTCACATTTTTTTTCAGATATTTGTCATCGTCATTAGTCGTCTCCAGAACAAAGCGAGCCAATCACTAGACCACAACAGCAACAACAACATACGAGACCCAGGGTACTATATATAATTAATAGTTGAGCAAACGCTAAGTTGAACATATTCTTTTCACAGTAGTTGCTCTGCAAAGGATTGATGTATTGAACAGAAGGCTTGACTTTGAAAACCCATACACTACCCTAATGAGTATTTCCGTATGATACAAATACATTTAATTTCATCACTTTACTTACTATAATGAACCAAACGAGGCCGAATATACCTATTAATCCGTTTAATACTGAGTAACAGCTGTCACACAATGCTGCATGATCATCTTTTGGACAACAAAAAAACTTGACAATGAGCTAGTTTATATATTAAAATTTTCACGAATATATCTTCAATACAATGAACGAGCTGACACATACTTTTATTATATTTAACGCGTTCGATCCGACTCCTATTCCACCAGTAATGATAAGCCACAATGGAATCTTTGTTTGTATGGGACACTGCTCTTGTCTCGTTACACCAACCACCAAGTCGGCTATTGCCATCCCACTGCTTACGATGGAAACTATGATTCCGAAGATGGTTACATACATATGATGTAACTGCTTTTTGAATCTCTCAGAGACACTTTTTATACCCTTCGCCATTTCGTTTCTGGATTTGAATAAATTTCACACTAAAATATTCGACTATCCTATAGTGCATGAATGCATGATTGTTTGAGTGAAGCATGTGAATGTCAGCATCCCGCGACTAACGAGAGAACGCATCCAACTGTCGGATTACTTTCGAGCCGAGAATAGGCGCATCTTCTAGAGCTAAGTGAGCTATGTCCACCTTGAAAAGAGTTCATGTTCATAGCCTGTTTCCGAGCAGATCAAGTGTTTGTAGTTTCACAACTGCAGATGGGAACAATATCTTAACTATGTTGCATCAAAGTATCTCCAACGTTAATGAAGCGTCCAACCGCTATAGCTTTTAACTTTAAGCAATCTACTTAACAATGTTCTTTGAAAACACTCTTGTTTTGATGGGGATAGCCTCAAAACCTATCAAGCAATAAAAGAGAAGAAAGTCTTGAAAAAGGAGGGGCTCCAAATTTTGGGCTGGTTGTCCCAAACAAGATCCACCTAATTTTATTACCCGATAATCAGCATTGATCCCTGATTAATTTCCACAAGTTTATTTTGCATTTTATCACAACTCAATTTTTTGATCCCATGGGAACCCCTCAGGGTTCGAAAAGAATTTTTTTCACCGCTTCACAAAGGGAAAACACGTACTCCCGGACTCCCGTACTCCCGTACTCCCGTTGTACTCCCGTACTCCCAGGACTCCGGGAGTACATGGGAGTACAGGGAGTCCAACATAGGGGTGGGAGTTTAACTCTAACTTTAACGTTAAAGCCAAAGTTAAAGTAACATACTTTAACACTGTAACGTGAAAGCAAGGGAGAAATCACGTACTCCCGTACTCCATGTACTCCGCGGTACTCCCGTAGTTCCATTGTACTCTCTGGACTCCTGGAGTACACCGAAGTACAAGGAGTCTGTGAGATACAATTCTTATGTAGGAAACCGTATCATAGGTACCTTCGTCAACCACTTTAAAAATTCCTATTTCTCAAGGAGAAAACCATGTACTCCAGTACTCTCTATGCTCCGTTCTACGCCCGTACTTCCGTTGTACTCCCTGGACTCCGGGAGTACCATGGGAGTACATGAGAGCCCAGCAAGGAGGAAAACACGTACTCCCGTGCTCCCATTGTACTTCCATACTCCCATTGTACTCTCTGGACTCTGGGAGTACACTGAAGTACAAGGAATCTGTGAGATACAATTCTTATGTAGGAGACCGTATCGCAGGTACCTTTGTCAACCACTTTAAATATTCCTATTTCTTCTTGAATGGGATACTCATGTCCTCATGGTCTATGCTTTCGGGGCACCCATAAGTCCCCCATGGCCTATCCTATTGGGTACCCATAAGTTCTTATGTCCTATCTTTTGCGGGTACCATAAGTCTTTATGGCCTATCCTATGAAGGTACTCATAATTCACCAAGGGCTATTGATGTCCCGGTTTTGTTAAATTTTCAAGCACTGTCTTGCGGTAGTTCCAGTTACTCTTCAAGCATCATTTCGTGGAGGGATATCGGATACCGCTAACTGTTAAAGAGATATTTAGCGTTAATCGTCATAGATTTTCAAGAGCTTCTAGGTAGAAACGCAAACTGTGATAAGAACGCCACTCACACGCAAGGAGAAAACAGCAGACTCCAGATTTCGTACTCCTAGGGATTCCTCGAAACTTCCAGGGACCCCTTGGGACTTCCGCGGACTCCTCAGCTTCCCAGGATTTCATGAGATTTCTTCGAATTTCGAGGGACTTTATGGGACTGTCTGGGACTTCCCGGGATTTCGTTGGAACTCCTTTGGGTCTTCTTGCTACTTTGACATATTCCGAAGTAGTAGCACCTACATGCATCACACTGGTCCGACTGTTCAGATCAAAGGTTAAACACTAATGAAAAGAAACTAATGTGTAAAGAGCTGCGCTCCCGTATTTTATGAGAGTCCTTGGAACTCCTAGGGATTTCCAGGGACTCGTGGAGTACGAAAGTCTGCTGCTTTCCCTTGCTTATAGTACTCCCATAGGATAGCTCATGAGGACTTAGGGGTACCTTCATAAGAGAGCCCATGTGGACTTATGAATACCCCTATAAGATACATCGTACTTCCGGGATTTCAAGGATTCCCATTGTACTCTCAGGGATCCGGAATCTTGCAAATCCCCTTTTTCCCCTTGCGTTCGACTATAAGAAAGACGAAAAAGAGGAATGCGACGTCTCGTCCATTAGATACCACCCTAGTTGCTTTGTCTACTAAACAACCTATTATTCAAGGGGAAAACGGCTGACTTCGGATCCATCAAAAGTGCCAAACACGTATTAAAAGCCTCGGAGTTGGCTCACGAGAATCGCAACAAGACTCAGAATAACAAAATTAGGTATGGAGTATGACTTGAAGTATCGGAGTATTTGTCAGAGTATTGGAGTACGCCCGAAGTATCTGAGTTTGGCGGAAATATCAAAGGATGAACCCATTTTGAGGTGTTTACAGTTAATTACTTCGTTGCTTCTTTTCGATCATTATGATTCTCAAATGTGAAATGAAGTGTGGTGAGAATTACAGCTATTGACTACTGACTTGAGACTCCCATACTGCGATATTTCAATAATACTTCGACACTCCGGCTCGTATTCCAGTACTCCGATGATACTCCGACGATACTCCAGTACTCCAAGCTGAAATCCAACGCAAAGAGTAAAGTTGATAATTTGAATTATACTGCTGAGACACATGATGGAAGATGGTAGATTCTCACTGAAATGTCCATTGCAGACAACACAAAGCATGTCTTAGCTGTTGGAGTACGATGCGAAGTACGATCCGAAGTACTGGAGTACCAGCTAAA